CTGCACAGACACTCCGGTGGAGATACATGGGAAAAGTCAGAGCGAAGAACCGCAAAGCAAAACTCGGTCTTTGTGCCAATAGAACTTAGAATGCGGTAGGACAACCAAGACGACAACCGAGATGAAGAAGGCGAACAACGTTGCCGACAGACCCTGCAAGTTGTTATTCTGTTGCTCTTTTTTTTCTTTTTTGGGTTCGATTTGTGGGGCACTGCAGGAAACGATTCCATACTTTAAAGTACACTTTGAAAAATTGCAGAAAAGGGTAAATTACTGGTTGTAAATTTCATAAAAATTTACTTCGTTGTTTCCTAAAAAAAATCCTCTAAAAAAAAAAAAGAACTTAATATTACAACCAAAAAAATGAAGTCAATGTTTCAGTTTAAATAAAAAAGTAAAAAATGTATCTTACACCGAGTTTTAAATAGTAAATAATTTTATTTTCATTCAGATTTTTCGAGCCACCTTTAGTTTTAAGCAACGTTGTTCGTGTTTGTATCTTGTATTATTTTTATTATATTTTTAAATTAAAAAACAATATATTTTTTAGTGTAACTCCGACTCTGTCCTTCACCACAACAAGGCAATTGTGGGAATTGGGAGCGAATTTTTCTTCTAAGCCCATTCGCATGTGTGTCTTTTTCATTTTTTTGGTTTAGTTCTGGGTTTTGTTTTGGTGCCAAAGTCTGTGTGGGGGCGGCGATATGCAAGATTTGATTTTGACTTCACATGCACAATGAATATTTCGACGTTTGCGGCACATTCAAAATTTAATTAACTTCATTTATTTACCCGCAATTTTGACACATTTCAAAATTGAATCCAAGACAAGTTGTGTTCGCTGTCTTTCAAGCAGTATTGCAAAAAGGAATGGAAATTTTGATTTATAAGCGATATAAGTACAAATTCCGACTAATGACTTCCTTTGCTTATCGAAAAAAAAGGAAACTGGAGAAAGGAATATATACAATGTTGAGCGTAAAATCTAAATAAAGTGAAATATTTTGCTAAACTTAAATAATTTTTTTAACAGCATTTTATAATTTCTTTCTCAAAGGACTTCCTATGTTTTTTATCTTGAACAATTTTTCGGCTTAAAGTCTTTATGGCTGTGATGTATTTGTCACTCTAAAGCCAGGCTATAAACTCCTTCAAAGAAATATCTTAGCTTATTTTCAAGGAGCTTCGTATTCGAGTCGCCGAAGGTGGAGCAATCAGCTACTTATCTGTAAATCTGAATTCGCTGAAATCGGCGAAACCCCAACTATGCATTATAGCCACTGGCAAATCGGGCTATTACATCCCGACATCCCGACCAGCGAGCCTGTGGGATCCGAGTTGTCGGAGTGGGAATGACAATATAGGGCTTCCATAAAGATGAGCGTTTTATGCATCCTTAACTTACACTCTATTTTAATTGCCGCACGATCCCGAGTGGCCGGGCCAAGTCAAGGCACCAGTCCCTCGGATCCTCGGATCTCATGTGCAATTAAACAATCCGAGGAAGGGAAGGGAGGTACGGAAATGGGGATCCAGAAAGGGGTACCTGGCAAAAGCAAATTTACGTCCGCTGTCAAGAGGCAGCGACGTAGCGTATTTAATATTTTTCAGCGTGTTTTACCTTTTCATGTTGTGTCATCATCAGCTTTAGCATCTTTAGCCACCGAAGAGAACGTCGTAGCCGTCGTCGTCGTCGGCGGAGAAGATACAGATACGATGCGATCCTGTTCCTCCACAAATTTGTACGCTCAACTACAAACTAAAAAGTCTTAAAGTCTTAAAAGCATTTGCGGCCCAAAAGGCAGCGGCGGCGAAGGCAGAAAGTAAACACAATAAAGGCATAAAAATTGCGAGTGAGCAAAACAAATAAAAATCGAGCAGAGCGAAAAAGATGCGAAACAAAATGCTGACCACTGACCACATGGGCGGGGGGTTAAAGGGGGTCAAGGGGAGGGGGGCGGATCCCCCTCACAGGGGACAGCACGTTGTTTTGTATCTGTGCTGCTCATTTGCACTTGGAATACAAAAGATACATTTTCGTAAGACCATTTTGACATGACAAGATAACGACAAGCAATCCGACCGAGCGACTCACCAGCCGAAGAAATCAGGAGGGGGTTCCCCGCCAAGGGGACACCCTGTACCGCTCATTGGCTCCTGGCTCTCCCGACCAGCCCCACAAGCCCGACCTTTGGCTGAGTGTTTCGTATTTTAATTTTCATTACGGCCACCTCGGTAAAGCCTTACAGCACTCGAAAAAAGATTCAGATTCATATCTATATAGCCATATTTCAAATTTATTTAAACTTAAATTTAAAATTAATCTACTAGGTCCGATTTCTTACATCTCTGTACAAAAATTAGAAATAAGTTAGAGACAATTGAAACAGAAGTCACTTTACATTTGATATTATTTGTTCCTTAATTTATTTACTGGATTTCCTGCAAATTAAATTTTGGATACTCACACAGTCTTAAGACCAACTGGGAACTTGGGAATTACAACAAATCTGTAAATGTAGAGTTCTGGAAGAACATAAAAGTAAACCTCAAAGCCACCCTTGAAGTAATTAAAACTCAACACTGCAATATGAACACAGATTAATGTCTATCTGTTAAGTTTCAATTGAAATTTTTATTTCATGTACTTGTTAAGATATAACTTAATCTTTAAATGCAATTAATTTCTCCCAGTGCTGTTTGCACTCTTTGCCGCCACCTTTTATCCACTAAAGGTTCTTGAGAAGCTGCGCCTGCGACGACAGCAGCGAAGTTCGCGCAGGCAGCGCAAAAGTGAGTATTTCCAAGAAATTGCAAATTATTTTTGAGCCGAGCGCCTGCGCCTGCTCCTTGTCCGCTCAGCTCCCCTGGTCCCTGGTCTCTGGTCTCTGTTCTCTGGATCCCTGCAGCTCCTGGAGCCTGAGCTCAAGCCGAGGTCCCGTCTCAGTTGCTCGGCAGAAGCCGCCGCCAAAATGAGTTAGCATCCCAAAAAGCCAACCGGCTGGCTCTCGTGTCTGAGTACCGACTGTTTCCCTCCACCTCCCCGAAGAATCCTCGAGATACTCGTACTTCTGCCCATTGACACTTCTCGTTCCGCCATGCCCCGATCCTCAGGTGGCTTTCTGTCCAGCCAGCCAGCCATCTCGACCATCAAGTGCCCCAACTCCATGCTCCCTTCTCGCTCCCTCCATAAAGTCGTGTTTATGCCTTCTCATAAACATTTTTATTTTAATGATTTTTATTATTGCGCACATTCGTTACTTTTTATACATCCCCGGCGAGGATCTCTTCTGGGGCCTCGCTGGCGTATCGAATTTGATTCGGCCGCCTCGTGTCCCCACAATTGGGTCCTGATCTTCGCCGGCTAAGTAGTGCGCCTGTACCTGCTGTCCTCCTATGCAAACACACATAAATTTATTTGTTTACTTATCCCTGGAAAAATACGCATTCCTGAGATATAGTTGGGGGACACCTAACATACTTGGTGATTCTGGTCCTTTTGCCAAATATCTATGTGGAAAAAATCTAACATTGCTTTCTTTTTATCCTAAAAAATTAGCTTTACCAAATAATAATCAAAATATATTTTTTAATACATTTAAAATTTTCCAAAAAGTAACTCATAATAATAATTATAATAAATAATAGTTTTCCCAATTAGAACGAATTTTAAAATTGATAAACATATGTTTTCTGTATTATTGGTGAATATTATATTAAACAATACATATTTATATTTGGGAATAAAACCATATTATAAGTAGGTACTAATTTTCCAAGCGGCGAAAATAGTCAATGGTTTATTCAATTCTAAGAATTGTTAAATCTTTAAATACATAATATGCTTTTTTAAGGAAGTAAAAAATTGTATGGGGGGTCAAAAATCGTTATGAAGGCTTGGTTCGATGAAAAAACTCTGGATCGCTTATAAGGATCCACCGGGACACCTTTCATGTGGCAGGGATCGGGATACGGGATAAGTTGATGGCTGAGCCGCGGCAGTCTCTGCATTTGCAGCCAATAAAAATTAATTTACGTTCGATTGCAAGGTTTTCGCGTTCGGATCGAGAGCGCCGCCGCCGCCTCCGTTGATGACACATAAAATGCCACATTTACGGCCGCATTTAAGACTCGACTCGGTCGCTTCACTTTTCGCCAACATAAAAATGTTAACTTTGAAAAATGGCGATTTCCGGGAGGGAAGGGGGAAATGGGGTAGAGGGGAGCTCAGGCAAACCTTTCAAAGTCGCTCACTCGGATTGCGCACTACTTGCCTAAAAAACCCTAAGACGAAAACCGAGAGTAACCGCCATTGCAGTTGGCCATTTGGATTATATGGCCCCTTGTCTTATCCCCCCTTATCCCCGATGACTTGAGGTTGGGAATGGGGATCGAGAAACCTTTCCAGGAATCGGAAACTGGGATCGACCGCACACCGAATGACGGCTGCTAATGTCTTCCCTCTGGACAAGTCTGCAACTCGGCACATCCACCTTGAAGCTCATTGCTTTTGCTTTGATGTTTGCTCCGTTCGCCTGCCAGAAATTAATATCCGATTCGTTACTGATATGATTTGCCCAAAAAAAAGGTATTAAGGACATGGGTCGTCAACAGCTGTGATTTATACAATGCAAAGGCAAATTAGTTTCGCCTACATCTATGTTGCTAATTTGTTATAATTATTATTATAAATTTCCATTTCATTCGTATAGCAATTTATACTACCAAAAAAATTTTAAATGGAAGCTTTATAGATAAAGTTTTTGTAGACGATCAAGAGTTTTCAATAAAAAGGATGAATAATAATCATATATTTTACATTTTTAATTACAAATGTTCATTGATAAATTAGGTGTTTTGGATTAACATAGACTGTTCAAAAAATGTTAAACGACAAAAAGAATGTTTACAAAAATTGGCATGGTTGTGGCACAAAAAATTTGGTGATACTTTTAATCAATATCTGATTCCATTAATAGATCGAAAAAAGCTTAACCCAATGACCATTACAAAAACATAATTTATTTGCAATAACAACGGCTCAGAAGCTTAGTTTATTTATTTGTATGTCTAGGGCGCTTTAAAGTTGCCTGAAGCGTATTTGGTTGAACTAAAAAATTATCTTCGTCAAAAAAGAAAAGTCGGTCAGTTAGCGGCGATTGTTCTCCTCCAGTCGGGCCACTGTGCGTCTTAGCTCCACGAGTTCCGCCTGCAATCGGTCCACGGAATCGATTGGTAGTCCACTACCTGCTGAAGGAGCCGCAGGAGGAACTTGAGCTAAAGGAGGTACTAAAGGAGCTGCGACTCCTCGGCCAAATGGGACTGCACCCTCTACGCTGGCAATGGAGAAGTTCGGGTGAATTTGAGGAGTAGTGACATGTCCAGGGACCGCGGAAGTCCCTCCGGGAGTTGAAAGGGGGGCTGCCCCAGGCCTTCCTGGCGCTGGCGAGCCATGAGCTATGACGGACGGTGGGATGCCCCTATGGTTGTTTATTAGCTTTTGCAATTTGGTCACGGCACTCTCCCTCTGCGATTCCAACAGCAGACGCATTGCCTCCTGGTCACCGGATCTGGCCTTCTCCAGTGAATCGGATCCCTCGTCGACGAGCACATAGTTGAAGACATGAGCATGGGTTCCAGGCTTTATCCGGTATATTGGCTGACCACCATCGCCACCAGTAGCATGTGAAAGTGCCGGTATATCGCCCATTTTTGCCATTTCACCGCCCACTTGAAAGATCGATGTGTGCCCGTTGACGACCAACGGCTTGGGCATTATGTACGGTGAGGACACAAACTGGGAGCACTTCCTCTTCGTTTTGTCAACCACAGTGGCCACTTTGCAGCCGGCGGTGCTGCAGGCGCGCAACGGAAGCAGTGCATCCCCGCCAGAAGCCGCATTTGCCGTCTGCGATGAACTGGACTGCTGCATTTCGGGGCCAATAAATCGATGAATCGATGGAGTATGTCGTGATGTCTACTCGTTTACTATTAGGGTTAGTCTTTTCACTCACGGGCAAACTTCTTATTTAACTTAGTTGCTTATTTTTATTTAAAATCTTCTGCTAAAAATCAAATTAGCATCGTCTTGTTTGCCTTAGTGTGAACGTATCCAACTAAAGCTGGTGGCTTGCGAAAAATAAATACCGAAAAATACCAGCACCCCAGTGCGCATGTCGATAGACCGATAGGTAATTGGCGGGTTATTTGAAAGTCAGTTAGGCTTTTCACAGTATTGCTGCTATTTCCGCTTTTGAAATGATTTAATTTAATTTAATTTCTTCCATGTTATTAAGTTTGTGTGAATATATAAAACATGCAAAATTTCTAAACTGTAAAAAAGCTTTTTAGGCTACCAAATGGATAATTAAATAAAAATATTTTTACTTCTTTCCTAAACTTTTAGCTAATTTGACCTACATGTGATAATATATTTGGTTTTATAATAGGTATTGGAAATTTAAGTTGAATAGATTTGTCGGTAAAAAGCATACCTAACATAACTATAATTATTTTTAAATATTTTAAAAAATTGGTCGAAAATGCAAAAGTACAAATTGAATAAGGTTAATTTGGGTGTCTGGTTAACAAATGAAGTGAAATCAATTGAAGTCCGTCAACTCATTGGCATGTCGCAGAAAGGGATAATGAGGAATTTGCATATAAAATCGGATGTCTGGCAAATCGGTGCGTGGGAGCAACGACCACCGCGGTGACCTCGAAAACGGGCCAAATGGAGATGGACGGACAGCGGGTCGGATGATAAAGGATAATGGGTGGAGTGCAGCGTGGAGCTGTGGAGTGGAGTGGAGTGGAGTGGCGGAGTTGCACCCGCTTCATTTACATTCCAAGTACTTTAAAAGCGGACGCTTTCGCATTCGCATTCGGGTTCGCGTTCGCAACGCGGGTCGTTAAAAGATGCTCCTCGGAGATCGGGTTTTAGGGCTTTACTGGTACTGGAACTGCACACCGGAGTTCAGTTCCAGCCGCCAGCTTCTTTAATTTCCACTCGTCAATCATCCATCTCGGCGAGCTTGGCCGGCACTCAGAGTTGCAGCCTCATTGTTGGCTCAAATGAAATAATTACTTTAGCACACAGCGACTGACTGACTCCGTCTGTGGTGGACGGTGCCTTCGTGCATCTGCATCCTTAGTCATGGCCAATATATCGACTCGCATTAACCACGACAACAACTGCAGTCCGCCGACTGGCATTGCAATAAAATCCACCAACACGTCTCGTCCCGAGTCCGGGAATAATAAGAAATGAAATGCCATTTATTAAGCATTAATAAGTGCAAGCGTCCATGTCCATCCATCCTCCATCCTCGATCTCCAACTCCGACTCCATCTCCAACTCCATCTCCATCTCCATCTTCTCCAAGTGCACGAGGAGCACTCCCATCTGACTCAGCATGCGATGGCCGTTGCGATGCCTGTGGGCATCCAAACCCCTTCTCTGCTCCTCATCCTTCACATGACCACTTGGTTAGTGTTTTGGTAACATGCAGCCTCCATTTTGGCCATAAAATCGCGTCAAGTCGCGTTGGGAGATCAACTCATGGGGTGGCGAGATCAGAACTTAACTGAATTCTGCCCTGTCTATCATGTCTAAAGAAATATGGGTCATACCTCAAAATAAAAAAAAGGAAAATTAGAAATGCTCGCTCAACAAACTGTAAGAATATACGAAATCCGTGTCTTTTTTTTGTCCGCTAAATAAATGGTTAATATCGTTTTTTATTTTTTAATTATTTTATTTTAATTTTTTGTTGATCAGGGTTTTTATTTTATTCGAAACCAAATTCTAAAAGAAATATAACAAAAAGCATCAAATGTTTTGGTTTTCTTGAGTTTTAAAAAATTACAAAAAATGTTGATTAAAGATATATAATATTTCAATTATTCTGTTTGGTTTAAAATACCCTATAAACTTGATTAAAAAAATATTATGAAATCAAATTCATTGCATAACTTTCAATTAATTTCTTAGCAATTTGCCGTTTTGAAAGTTCTGCTGTTATATTAAATATATAATGCGTGTGTACATGCAGAAATATTTTTTACCCTTTGATGGCCGTGACTAATCAGAATTCAAGCCGAGTACCCGAGGCCTTCGAAATAAAAACACAACAGGCCGGCAAAAACTGCACACAAAGGAGCGGCGGCACCTGCAGGGTTAACTTAATTAAATTCCATTGCGTTTTGGCTCAGAAATGTGAGCAACATGATGCAATTATGAATTATAAAATTAATATAAAGCGCACTTAACATGCAGGACCGTCGACGGCAGCGGAAATATTTCGCCGAATCCAGCCCACAGACCCAAAGCCTCAAACCCCCAAACCCCAAAACCCGAGCTCCAAGCTCCAAAAGCCCAACCGCAGAATTCCCCCAATTGCCTGCGAATGAGAGCCCTCTTAATTCCTCTTTTCAGAGGTTCTTGGGTGTGGACCCTAAAATCTTAATTGCAGGGAACGCATAAAGTGCAGGAACCAAGAGCTTGCAAGTGGCTTCTTTGACGGCAGTAAATTTCTTGTGCATTGTATTCTGAAATTGTTCTCCGAAGCTGGCATTAAAGTACAGTTCTTTGAAGCGTTTAATTTTTTAATTATTACAAAATTAATTATTTCCGAACAATATGGTAGGTTTGGAATACAAATTTAAAATATATAACCAAGGATATGAATCATGACAAACTAGAAATTATATCACATTATTTTTAAAGAAAACTACCAATCAATGAAACATATCGTTAACTTTAGGAAACTCCTATTTCATATTACCTTTTAACCATAACTTTATTGTTTAATATAGTTTTAAAAATATGTATTCATTACTTAGGGAGGTTATTTTATTATTTTTACGGTGTTTTAGGTATAAACTTAGGATCTGTTCTTTTTATTGCACGTTTAATAAATACAATCAAATATTATTTCTTACTTGCCTGATTACTCTTCAACCTTTTTAAAATACAATTGTGTGGCTATGTAAAAAGCATTGCTGGGAATGTGGTTCCTTGACCCTGCACCTTCACTCCCCAACTTAGGATAACCCGTGCACTTGGACCCTCATCAAGGCTGATCGATTCGGACAGTTTGCATTGGAAGACGGCGAGCTTTCCGACGAGTCATGCCACTTTACACGGAATTTGGCGTAATGAGAAAGTATTAGTGCTCTTGTGTGGGTGGAGTGTGGGGTGTGGCAGGTTGTTGAACCCCGCTGAAATTACCTGACACTCTCGCTCGCAGGTGACAACCCTGTGCAATTGCTAAAAGCCTCGGGATACGAAAAACGCGAAATGCGAACCAGCATCTAATGGCATGTGAACATGTCTGCGACTTGTCTGCCCCGCCAAACAAGTTGCATCCTTATTTTATTTCGCCTTATCTTTCCCTTGCGGAGAGTTGTTCGGCAAAAAATTGAATTCCACGACTGCGAAGGCCAACACATGACATCCATTTCGGCAGTAACAGTAGCAACAACAAAGCGAACTTTGCCAGCGGGAACCAGTACGATGTGTTATGTGTTCATTGTGCCTCGATGACACTGTTTTTATTCCCTCAAAAAGTGCAATAACTTGGCATGATTTTCGCATAGTATAAACAACATACATATTTATGTATGTATAAAGGAAGATTTGTGATAATCCTTTTTTTCTATTATGTGATGCAAAAACTAAAAGTGAATTTTGTAATTATTTAAATCAAAAACTGTTCTTCAAATTTTAACATAGTTTTAAAAGAATATTTCGAAATAAATCGGAAAAAAAACATTAAAATATCCTTGTTTAAATCTCTTTATTATATAAAATAAAATTCAATCCTATTTAAATATGATTCCACCACAAATGGAATCCTCAAATCCTTTAAAACATAAAGTTCAATATTTTGTCCGATGTGATATGGGCATATAACCAAAATTCCCGAGGCTGCTCTGTACTTGAGTACGATCAAGTGAACAGCAAGCTGCGAAGACTTTGGACAGAATCATGAGGATCTGCCAATGTTGTTGTTGTTGTTTTCTCCGTCTGGCAGACTGGAATCAGACATACAAGCAACAACAACTAAAGGCGGCGGGACAGCACTTCCAACAGTGCAAACTCGAACTGCGCAGTGCGCATGCGCAGCGTATCTGTTAGACCCACAACCAAACACACAGATACAGATACTCACACTTGCACTTGCATTTCGCCCGCGGACAGTGGGAAAAAGAAGCGATCGCGAAAAGGAGACAAACCGGAGAAACGGAGAAAAACGGGCAAATGTTTCTGCTAACCTTGACTTTGAAATTCTCATTGCAAAAGGCGAAGAATGTACGCCAGCATAGCCACATAAATATTTATAGTGTATAAGCTCTCGTGCGATCACCAGCAGCTTTTATGTGTTTTCTTTTTATTTTCGATTTCCTGTTGGGCTTGCCATTTGGTTACTTAATGATTACTTCTACTCTTGCCCTTGCAGATGAGACTTGGCCGAACGTCTTCGAACTGATCGCAGTAGCTAGAGGATCGGCACCGAGCAAAGGGACAGGGAACCGCGTTGGAAAGCTCTCAGCTCCATCACGGAGCCAACTGCAGCACTTTTGTACGCCGTGAGAATTGCGGAACCAACAGGTAAAAACTGAGTCTTAGATACATACTTCATAAATACTATTAAAAATTTAGAAAAATATATACTTCTTGGTCAAAAATCTCACGTGGCTCTGCATAAATTCTTTTATGTTCTAAATTACTATAAAAAGAACACCCATGACAACTTCATTAGTGGAATCGCAGCTTGAAGTCCAATATTTAATTAATAATTGTTAATAGTCAATAGGAATTTTATTCCTATATATTACAAATTTAAAGTTTTAGGAATATTTAAACTAAAATTAAAAAATGGGGGAAGTGGATATCCAAGCCTTGATACACTATTATAAAATCATTAAATAATAGTTTAAAGCACCTTTTCAAATGGAAAACTCTTTCTAAACATCTTTTATTCCGCTATAAGCCTCTACTGTTCCATATCTTTAGGGATGCCCTATTTTCTCTAAGCTAAAACCCAATAAATAAAGTTTTTCTTAACAAATGGCCTCTCGAATTGTATCTGTGACCCACAAGTGGCCTAACCCCAGCGAACGAAGCGTCCTGGTGGCGAACATCCGGGCCCTGTGCATCCGCCAACTGGTTGGCCCCATTAATCGTATTCAATGCGACTATATCCTCGGAGAAGGGCAGGGGGATCTCCCCTTCCGCTCGTATATAGAAATCCGCGTTGAATGGAATTTGAAAATCGATAAATGGCAATGGCGACGGAAATTGCTGTTGCATGGCGGTTGACACCGTGTTAATGGGCCACTTATAACGGCATTGTTAGCTGGTTGCTGGTTGCACACAGATCTCTTCATCCGCCTTCTCCACTTTACAGCTCCCCAATCAACCCCCTTCTCCCCCAGTTTTGTTGGCCTTGTTAGGCGAAGAGTGTTGGAGCCTTTGCAGCTGCCTCTGCTTTTGGCCAACAAGAGGACACGTGCCCCGTTCCGCAGGCATGAATTTAAAGGACGCGCTGCATGGGAAAGGTGTTTCCTTGTTTCCTTTGGCTGGTGCTAATTAAATTTAATTTAAAACAAAGCTCGGTATTTCGTCAACGTTCGCGATTCGAGGCGAGAGGATCCCTTCTTCCCTCGTGCCATCTCATAATTGATGGCTGCTGTTGGTGGCGAGGAAACAGAGTCTTAAATTACCACGAGGAGAGTGTGGCAAGCACTGGCTCCTTCTTTTTTGCCCGATCAAATTAGATGCCCTAAAAAGCATTAGGCTGCAGACGGGCGTCTGCTTTTCCAATCCTTGAGAAGCACTGAAAAAAGTAATCTCATCTTAGCATAAAAACAAATTTTTATACTCACTGTCAACACTTTTTGAAAACCACCACAATACATACTTTTAAAAATTCTGTGAATTAGGAAATTGGTTGTGGAATAAACTAATTGTTAATGTATAAAACTTGTTTAAAATTACAGAACAAGTGTACATAATTTCATAAAAAACACATCGTAATTTATATTTCAGCTATATATTATGAATACATAAAAGCAAAATAAACAAACCCAGATTTTTGTCGTTCTAGTTATAAAGTTATAAAAGACAGAAAGAAAATTATTGTTTGTTTCAAAACAATATGATTTCCATGCAATTGAATTATTTACTGATGAAAGCCAATGACTGTTGGGCTAAAACATCTGTACAGCAAATTGCACTCTACCATAATTTAGATTAAATTTTTTTCTCAGTGGAGGAGCAAGGATGATGGCCGTGGGCGAAGGATCCGTGGTGGATCCGGCGCCGGGCCTTCCGCTAAGTACCGAGACATGTTATTGGCTCGTCTGTATTTTTTTTGCCCTCGGTGGTTGTGCCATGCGGACACATGTGTGCGTATGTTCTGGATCCTCCTCCTGAGCCGCAGGACCAGGTCGAGGAGCACAAGGCAGGAGCAGCTGGGTCGGGCTTAGTCGCCTTCTAAGCGAAGAAGGCAGGTGGCTCGAGCCAATGCCGATTAAAGCCGCCGATCTCGGGGCATTGTCTAAAAAAAGCTCGAAGAGCGAAAAAGGAGCAGAGGACAATGAGTTATGGTGGTGGAGTCCCAACTAAAGATTTAGTGCTTAGTAAATAAACCAAAGTCAAGGCTAAGAGCTTAGCTTTAATATTCATTGATCTTTTGCTTACCCAATAGCCAATTAAAAGTTCTACCTAAAATATATCCCAAGGCCATTGAACAAAACATAATCCCCTTTCGAGTGCACGAGCACCTTCAATTGGAGTTCCAGTTAAGATGTATATCTTCGGGCCATGTCTGCTTGGCCCAAACTCACTGGCCAGGTATTTCTTTACCGTTAGAAGGGGCAGAGCAATCAAAACGGCTCTCCCCTCCGATTTTCGGGGGATCCAGTCCGAAAACAACAAAGGTGCCCCACTTTGAAGGCCAGCGGCAGGCGATCGCCACAAAGCCTATGATTAAAATTTAGGTCTGATACACCGGTCGCTGGATCGTCATCATATACATATATATATCTTTATAGTATATAGTATCTGGTGCATGTGCGTAATTGCCCTTCTCAATTCAGCGGTCGCGATCCTTCTCAAATTAAAGTTTACTCCTCCCTTCGTCAAAGGGGAAAGTTACCTGCGGCCAAAGTTAGATCCAAAACAATATCAACTTGAAAGGCAATTTCGATTCGTGCAGTCGCATGAGAAACGGTTTATTTTCATCCACAAATTGTACAACTAAAGTCATGAATATCCCTAATTTATTCACGTATGCATTAATCACTGAATTATTGAAAGGAAACAAACTTGATCAAACAAATAACTATGAATACCTAAGAGAAACGAAACTTAAATGGTAATACCAATTACTTTAGTTTGTCTTACCAATCATCTTCAAAATAACTTAAATTTAGCGAGTTTTCCAAGAAACCTAAATTTATTTTTTTTGCATAAGTTTAGCCTTAAGATTGGACTTGCAATTTATGCACTCTATATACAAATTTACGATTGATTCTTTTGGGTCAATTAGGATTTCCATAATAACTGGACGCAGGTCAAATACGAGTTATGACTTAAAGGCAGCATAAATTTGCAGTAAAAATTTCCATTTGTTTCTCAATTACAGTGAAGGGCAACAGCTCAGACAAAAAGGGTCCTGTTGATATTAAAAAAAACTCTGCAAGGGTATATAAAAAAAACATTTTTCCAAAAGTTAAGTTCACGTTTATTAAAATAATAAAGCATAAGTGTATTACAAACAATTGTATTAAAATAAATCGCAGGGTTTCTAAAATCGAACGATTTTTTATGTTATAAAAATATATATTAAGTGATTAATATCGAAAATAGAATACCGTTTTGGAGAGAAAACTTAATATAACACGATAATAAACTGATAAGTCTCCAAATCCAATTTGGTTTCTGCCCTTGCTAACAAAACTGATCTGTTGATTTTGTACACCGATAGATGTCGCCATGAAATAAGTAGAAAGTATTATGTATATTCAATGTTTGCAAAATTTGAAATCCTAAGATTTTAAAATGTTTTACAAGATGATATATTTTTTATTTGTTTTACAATTGTATTAAATATATATTTTTTAATATATGACAATTAGCTCCGGAACAACTTAATCACGCAAACAGATTTTTCTTTGTTTTGGTTTCTTATTGCTTCACCCAATTTCACACAATATGATTTCATATTTTGGTCAGTACCACAAAAACTTCACTACTAACAGTCGAAAAACAGCTGAGACCATTAAAATAAAATAAAAAGAAATCCGTCACCTAGCACTTTGCACCTATTATTTCAATACTTTATGATTAATCCGCATTAATAGGGACAGACTGCATGGCGACAATAAATCATTTGTCTTTAAAGGTGACAAATTCTTTGCAAGACCGCTAAACCTCAATTGCCACTGGTTTTCACCTAGTTTAATTTGCTTGCTAGGCATTGCAGTTTTTAAAGCGTGCGTGAAAAATGCAGAGTTTTAATTTAGTACACGCATCGCCCTATAAGAATGCCCAATTCAGGTTGTGAAATGTCAGTTGGAAAATACAGAAATCATCATGAAGATCGTGGCTTTGATCGTCGCTGCTTTTGTGGCCTACGCAAGTGCTTCCTGCCAGAGTTCCGGATACTCTTCTCCTGGCATTGCGGCTCCTCCCTGCCCCACAAACTATTTATTTAGCTGCCAGCCCCAATTGGCACCTGCTCCCTGTTCGCAGCCACAGGAAGCTCCTGCTTATGGATCCTCGGGAGCCTACACAGAACCCATTCCCCTCTACGCGGGAAACCCAAAAAGGCGGGAGGCGCCCAGGTTTCGCCAGAGCGTAGGAACTGCAGCTTTGATGGAGGAATTGCGAGCATTGGGAGTCCAGGGATTCCATGGACAACAATAATAGAGAAGGAATAACTGAAAGGATAATGACTAACAAGAACGGCAATGATTTTGGTTTAAAGAAACACCTTTTTGGTGAACACACTCTCTGGAAAACAATGTAAATTGTTATTGTACATAAAACACAACTTGAAATAAAGCGATTGAAAAAAAAACGAGGTTTGTTTTTTATCAAGCTAAAAGTGCCAAAGTATGATACTCTAAATATTCAGTAAAGAAGTTCAAATTACTTTTCATTTACAAAATAAATTTCAGCCTTTAAATAAAAGGAAATTAAATTATACTCGTAAAGAGTATTTTGACAACATTATTTAAAATATCATAGTGGTTCTTCAATATTTAAACGTCACCCAGATGACACCTGAAAATATACACAAATAAACATAGACCTACATTACTCAGATATAAAATTGCCACCGCATATTTGTATTATTACTGCAGCCGTCATTAAGCAGATTATTGAAAAGCATTTGCCGAGCAGCTCACCTCTTGAATTTCCCATTACTAACTCTCTGCGATCGGCGGTGGATTTCTCTCTCGGGCATTTTTGTCAATGGATGCGGCGCGGGTGCCAAAAATATTGTCAGTCGAAATTGCTGTCTAGTGCGGTCGGTCGGTTGTTTTTGCTATTCGTCTCCGCCGCGAACCGCTCGAAACTGCTCCACATTTCCTTAGCCAAAGTGGATCACGCACTCGAATCGTCCATATAGCTCCCGATATCTGTGCATATAAGTTCCAGCAGTGCTGTCATCGCAGGATGGCGTTAACCGCATCCAAATCGCTGCCATGTGTCGGGCTCTAAAAGTTCCCCCCATTGTGACCCCATTCGTTGTGGTTCTTGGCCATTTGACGATTAGTGGCCATAACGCCTGAGTGTTTGTTTATTTTGCTGCGCGACCGCACAAAACGATTCCAAAAATGATTGCATAATTGACAATTCGGGGGGACAACAACACACACTGCGGTTTCGATTCCTTTTCGTACTTATTGTGATTCCATTTCCGAGCTGAGATTCCACCATGAAGAAGCTGCATCTGGGGGCCAAGCACAAGGGCAAGTCCTACAAGCCCTTCAGGAACAAGAACCGTCGGGTGAGTGGGCAGTTAAGGATCATCTATTCGGAAACCATCTACCAAAACCCCCCTTCGATGCCCCCTTTAAATGGCGCGGCCCTGCCCCCTTGGGGCCCGGGCGGAATCCGTATATTTTTATCCACTCGATCGCTCGCAGACTGCTCGCCCAGCTTGTCAGCCTGTTCGCGACCATTTAAATACACACACACATGGAGTGCCTACAGTGCGTATTAGCACTGGGTGGCCACTAGGCGGATGAGCGATTATCTAGGGATAAACCGACTTGAGATTGCTCATACGACCCGTTGTCCGCAAGGAATACAACTTATTTTTGGTTAATTATTTGAAGCTCCACCAATAATTGTAGACAAATATTAAATGTTGTGTAAATAAATAATATATAGATAACAAATTATTTTTTATACAGTTTTCTTATATTTGAACTTTTTTATAAAATGTTAATTTTTTATGTATTAAAATAGGGCTAACATCAATTTTGAAGGCACCCAATCTATCTCATTTCTGTTTTTCTTATTTAATTTAGTTTATTTAGCATCCAAAAATGAATAGTTATTTGTTAAATTAAATTAGTTGCATTTCTGTATTTTATTATAAAACACACTGTGTTTCTACAACTTTGTCGCGTCTTTTTTTATATTCTCTTGGTTCTCTCGCAGACAATTTAGGGGGCCAAAGAGGCTATCACACTGCTTACTCATCTTCGAAATCTTCCTATTCGAAATCTGCAGCGAGCCCCATAAACACAGTCAATGTTGATACTTTTGCAGCACTCGCAAACCACTTTACGGATTCTAGGTTTTACCTTGCATTCTGTCGATAGTTGTGCGGACTTCAAAAATGTCTGAGATTGCACTTTTGGTTTGAGAGTTTTGCAAATAAGCCAGATAATTTGAAGAAATATAAACTGCCGGAAAAGAGTAGTTCAGTTGTAATAAAGTATTTTTTAAATATTTTTGTTTATTATTAGATTTAAACATCCAAACTTTATGGCTTAAGATCCAATAAATAATCACAATAAGCTTCATACCTTTTAATTGTTGTAAGTGGGAAAGAACAGACAGCTTATTCCCCAGATATTCCATGATCAGTTTTTTAAAATCATTAGTTTGCGTGTTAACTCAATTTGTTGCTTAATTAACTTGTCACAGGGGCAAACCGAAAGTGGGGGAATCCACTGGTCTGCATTTAAGCCATCCGAAAGTTGTGGCCGCAATGAAATGCCAAACGAAAGGTGAGGAGTAATTTGCTGACGCGCGGTCATCGACAGAGCCGGAAAAGTGGGGAGCAATCGGGCTGACCATGAAAATATTTGCCAAGGGACTGGGGGCGGGTAATTGCACTGGAATCCAGAAGCGGAGCGTTGACCCACCCGCAGAAAGAAAAACTAGCAAACAAAAGGGGGGAAATGAGGGGGAGGGGGTTGGGCTGTGAGTGGGTGGCGCTGGGGTATCGATGGCAACCAAAGTTCATTACTAGTTGTTGGGCACTTTGCCCGTTGCAAAGTTTTGATGGGGCTTTTGGACAATCGGCGAAAGGTAAACAAAGAATCGACCCGAAGAACAACCCCTCCCCGTTTCCGCCTCCCCGCACCCGCGATTAAAAGGGGGTATCCCCTTTTGTTTTTGGTATTGCCTTTTGGAAATGTGTAAACGCAAATTGGGACCATCGCCCGCGACCTTCCCCGTTAACGGTTAAATTGGGGAGAGCCGGAGAAAGAGAAATAGAAAGAGTGGAAGCAGTGAAAGCCGACGTCTGCGCAGAGCGGAAGTGGAGAATTGGCTCCTGCGCATGCGTCTTCTCTCCTTATTGTCATTCTCTGTTCTCGCTCGTCTGGAAGTAATTGAATGCTCTCTCCTCCTCTCGCTCTCTCGCCTCCTGTCACTTTAAGTGAGGAAATGGAAAACGGAATGTTTACGTTATGGGCACAGTGTGATGGAGAGATGTATTCAAATTTAAGGAAAATAACATTTTCTACCTGATTAATCTATTTTATAATTATTTATTTCTTTATCTAGTTTAAGGCAATGACATTTATTTTAAATTTTGCATTGTAATTTATTGGTAATGATCAGAGATTTGTGTACCTTACTGAACTCTTATACAAAATTCTAATGATTGCTATTTAAACCCAACATTTATTTAAATCTAAGCCTAGTATAGTTTTACACAACACTTGTTAGTAAATGGTAGGGATACATAATGCCATACCAAATGTCATTAAATGCAGTAAGGAGCTGAAGTATTTCCTTTTTTTGGTTGGTGTTCGAAAACAACATAATGTAAAAAATACCCTTTTTCAAAAACATTAAAAAGAAATGTTGAAATTTTTAAATGTATTTTATAATCGAATATTATTTCAAAACTACAAAACAGTGAATTTATATTAGACCATTTCAAATTTCGAATTATATTAGAAAAATTATTCCAAAACTACAAAACAGTGTCTAAGTATAATTACTAAAGATTGCTACAACAAAACCACAAGAACAAAAGTCCCAAACTCAAAACTTTATAGTACCTTCAACATAGTTGCAGTTACATCTGCGATAAGAAAATTACGTATTTAAATTTACGTATGGATTTGCTGCGACAAACAGCTGTAACCCTTTGGGAGCGTTTGGCGCTCGCGGCCGATTGTCGGGGTTGCCAACAGGTGGACACCCGCTTTCTCCCCTTTTCCACACCCCCTCCCGTAGGAGTGATGGTGCTATCGATTTTCCAGGCATACCGCTGACCAGCGATGACAGCGCGCTCATTTCGATGGAGATTTGGTTTCGGTGGGTGGTTGGGGTGATGAAAAGCAGACCCTTTTGCAGCACAAACAACTCCAGTGGCACAGTGGGACGAACCATAACAATTCGCACTTGAAACCCGAATTTGTTTACATTCGAGGTGTTGGTGTGTGCGCAGGAATGTTTATATATATTTACATTTATATATGTGTGTAAGACGCGAAACGAGTGGAGCATTTACGCACTGGAAGCGGACGAGAAAACTCTACACTGTTTTCCCGGAGCGGAGCGGACTTTTCGCCTTCCACATACAGAAACGATTCAGTTTGCGTGCGGAGTAGAACCGTTTGAATGTCGGAAAGGCGAGGGCCCCAATCGAATCGAAATCAAAGGATGTGAATCGAGTGAAGTCCTGTTGAAGATAACACCGCGAATCGGCACAGGATAAAGCTAGTGAACGGGTTGGAAAACGCAAGGATTCGGTTGGTTTTCGGAAAAGAAAAACAGAACAAGGAACACGGCCACGCTGAAAGGAAATCAGTTTTCGCGACCTATTCGCCTTTTTTCCACCGCCCCCTCCGCCCGAGTTTTCCAGTGAATTTTGTGTGCATATACTAGAAAAGTGATGTGAGCAGAGAACCGCGACCCGACGCCACTGACATAAATTCCTATTTTTAACTTGCCTGGGGCCAGAAAACCCCACCGATGCGGAATCAATTCGGAATCGCCAGACCTGTATGCAAATTGTGCTGAAACAAAGGCGAGAAAAGGCTGCGGAAATCCCTTCCAGTTAACAATTTAAAGTTATTTCGCCTGTGGCTTCCAAACCGTTTGACAATCGCCTCTCTCTTTTCCTCTCTCTGTCGCTGAATCTCTCTCTTGCTCTTTAACTATCTCGCTCGCACACTGGGTATCGGTGTTTTTGTGTCAGTGTCAAATTCGAATTCCGCCTGACCCGATGATTACAATCGTTAACCAAAGAATATTGCCAATGTCAATGCTAATCATACGCAAAAGTGCAATAAATCAATTTTTGTGTCCTGCCAAAAAGGAGATTGAACGTGGAGTATGCTATAGAAATTTTGTACATGCCTGAGCAACCAAATCCGAGTGCTTTTATACACTTTTTACAACGTATACAAACTAGTGCTGATTGCTGATTGGTTTCATAAAGTGTAAAGTGTTATTCCTCCGAATAAGTACAAAGATAGCCCCCCGAGAGCCACGCATTGCCAACACCAAACGAAAACGGATAGTGAAAATAGTCCTGGAGCATACGTAACCATTGCCAACTCAACGACTTGCCAGAATCCACAGCCACAAGCATCATCATCAACACCATCATCAGCAGCATCATCATCGGCACCAGAATCGCACCATCTGGTGGTGCTGTGGTTGCTGCTGTTGTCATCGCACCGGTTCGTCGGAAACATCGGCAAGATATCTTCGTTCGAAGAAGACTACCGGGCTGACAGGCCCATGGTGCAGCGAGCCTCCTCCTCGGATGCACCCTCCGTTCAGGGTGGCCAACATCGAGAGTCTCGATTTGGCCTTGGATACCCCTCCTACCAGAGTGGATACAACAAACTATTCACACAGGTGCTGCAAACCACCAAACCAGAATGGGTTCAATATTAATCAGTGTTTTTTGATTTGTAAATTGACCTTTTTACCTTTATTCAGTGCTAGCAAAATTTTGTTCTCATTAAAAGTACTAGTTATCCACTTATACTATACTTTATCTCTTAATAGTTGAAAAAGCTTAATTATCGTTTCTGAACCTTCATAGTACATATGTATACGCTTTTCAGATACATCTTAAATATGATAGGACCATTGCTTTTACTTCTAAGCATTTGAATGGAAGAAAAAGAATATCGCTCATAAAATTTAATAAAAAACACTATAATATTGACTTTTTTTGGTTAGGAACAATTTATTCCTTATTATATATTATACATTCTAACGTTGAATATTCATATTCCTATGAATATGCGTGAATCATAATTGCTTTGAATTTTGCAATTTAGATACTCTAGACTCATGTCAAAATTTCAATAATCTCCTTTGGCAACGTATTGCTCATGTACTTGCCACCAACTGTTGCTTCATGAGCGGCAACAAAAATAATCAAAATAATACATGGTGGCCTGCATTGTTTGCCCTCTTGAGTTTTGGGCTGGGCTTCTGGCAGCAGGCCAATTTAATTTGTTTTGATTTTCAGATGGCTGGGCAAATGTATTTATCTTTCAAACAGCCCTATTTAGGCAGAGTATATTCTTTAATAACCACTTTGGTTTGGTCTTTTCCAGGGTTCTGCCGACTCGAACTACTCACAACCGTCATCCGATCTGTCGCTAGACGAGGAAAAGGAATCGCTTCGGCGAGAAAAGGAACGTCAGGCCTTAAGCCAGTTGGATAAAGCGAGGGTGAGTACTTATTAAATATTCTCACTATCTATAAAATAGCCATAAAATTTAAAACTATCAAAGTATAAATTGGAGTGTTAAGAAACAATTCAGAATTTCAATTTTGTATTTAGAAAAATACACCAAGTTTTAAGAGTACGTAAACCTTTTTAAGTCGCACTTTCCGAGCCTAATATTTGTTTAATAATAGACTTCTGCATTCGGTAGCCTATAGATCATAAGATCTGTTCCGGTTAATTTAAAATAATATCTACTATGTGTAGAACGTTAGTTACGAGCTCAAAACACCAATTGCTAGGTAGCACAATGATCCATGATTTTGTGGCTATTTTTTGGCGATATTCAATGAACTTTTCTGATTAAATTCGAAACGTTTTTTAGAGCAAACCAGTGGCGTTCGCTGTGCGAACCAACGTAGCATACGATGGCGCGATCGACGACGACTCGCCGGTGCAGGGCGGAGCAGTTTCGTTCGAGATCCGGGAGTTCCTGCACATCAAGGAGAAGTACGACAATAACTGGTGGATCGGCCGGCTGGTCAAGGAGGGCTGTGATGTGGGCTTCATACCCAGCCCCGCTAAGCTAGACAACATTCGCATGCAGGTTGGACATGGGATACCATCCCTTTGGAGTTGAATACCCTATAGATTAATCCATAATCAAATGTGATTCTAGAACCAAACCAGACCCTCAAGACTGTATGGCACAAAGGGCTCGTCGAGCGGGAATCTTGGTGCGGGCGGACAAGCAGGTGCGGAGCCATCTCGAGGTAGCACACCCCCCACACCTGGTATGACACACATTTCATTCTCCTGATTTCTTTTGGGCGAGGTTTTATTTCGTATCTGTTCGTATCTATTCTGTGAACCGAATTAATTTCCAATCTATATATTTTTTCGCTGTCTTCTATGTAATGTGTTTACTTTTGTAAATCGTCAGAGAGAGCCGGGCCTCCGCTTTTCGAGAGGCCCACTGTGTTTAATTAGCATCCATAGCTTCGACTGATGGATGACGAGAGCTGAGATTCTTCGAGCTCTTCGATGTTTCATTGTAATTGGAGGCGTGTTTTATGATTTTCATTTGAAGCGAACCAAATCAGAAACCATGAAAGAAAAAACCAAATAAGTGGGCCAAGCTAAATTCCAGTAATTTTGTACTTTTGTGTTTGATCTAATTATATATCATGCGACATCCATAAAACGAGTGCAAGTTTATGCTTTACTGTATTGAGTTCACCTGGCAATCCGATGCAAATCAGATCCTAGTTGTGCAAACGGTCTCTATATATCGGCCTAGAGCTAGATCCTAGATCCCCAGCATGAAAAGCCAAGTCCTCCAGGATGTCGGCCCAGATTGCCTGACCCCTCAACCCGATTCACCACTGTAAACACACAAAAGTACACACCAACTAATTGAGCTTCTATAGCCACGATTTGATCCGTCCTAGTTTGTCTAAATCAAAGCTCCTCGTTCATGGTCTGCTTGTAAATTAACCTAGCCAATGTGAACACTATTAAATGCACTCAAACTCTCTTTTATCTAACACTGAAACCGAAACGGTTGACAACACTAACAAAATGAACAACCACAACGCGACCCAAGATCCCTACAGTACAACACCGCGCAAGAAAAAAACAGGTTTGTCCACGTCTCTCATCAGAACCTCAGAATCCCATTTCAATCGCAAAAACTATCGCTAGCTTTTCGAGTGAGTTTCAGGAAAAAAAAGCAGAGGTTTCACACAAAGGTTTTGAGATTGTAAATTTCTTGAAAAGGTTCCCAAAAGTATGCTACAATGTTTCCTAAGCTCAAAAGAACTAAAAAACAATGCCAAAATCAAAAATATTGTATTATCTGGTTTTATTTTCAAATATTAAAATTTAAATTAAAAAAAATTCGGTTAAAAATTATTATAAGTCATTTATTAACAGTAGCAAATATTTTGATAGCAAAATTACTTCTATACGCTTTCTGCCCTCTTATTATTAAAAACAAGTTATCAAACTAACAGAATTATAAAGATTTATCAGAGCATAGAATTAACCGTTTTTTTATCGTTTCAACGAATTATTCACACTCTTCGTAAGTAACAAATTCAATATACTCCAGTATCAGCTACACTTTCATACCAAAATACGTATCATCTGTCCGTAAAACCTAAAATGTGTATCCTTAGCTACGAAACACGCTGTTCTGTTGTCGTTTAAAATCGCTGTATGTAATCCGTTTAAAAAGAATTCGAACTCCCACTAACTGAAACCCATACTTAGTTACCAATTACCTAGAGTTGTGTAAAGTCTAAGCAAATAGAACACTTCATATTCGAGTAGAATTAAGATGTTAGAACTAGGAAGAAACCTCACCCTCGAGTTGGCATTTTGAACAGCATTAAATGGTGCGTAGACCGGTTACCAAAACAAAAAAAGAGACAAAAATTCAAAACAACCTGAAATTTCGAGACAAAAGTATACCTGGCACCGAACACAAAAACCCACAAATCGCAAAAAGGGGAAACCCTTTCGAATTCGAAACACTGTATATACTAACCAACACTGAAAAAAAAAACAAACAACAAGCGTCTTACGTATTTACGATATAATATATGAAATTGGCCTAGCAATTCGTACTGATCGATCGCACTGGCTCGTACCAATCATAAGCTCGCTCATCCGTTGCCATTATCTCGTCCTGTTTGCCATGATACTAACGCTCAGGTGACGAATCAGATTCCATGGGACCAGGACGACATGGCAAGGCCGCGGCGGCGGCGGCCAACAAGGAGAAGCGCAAGCCGTTCTTCAAGAAACAGGAGACGGCCAGTCCCTACGACGTGGTGCCCTCGATGAGGCCCGTCGTCCTGGTGGGGCCCAGTCTCAAGGGCTACGAGGTCACGGACATGATGCAGAAGGCCCTCTTCGACTTCCTGAAACACCGCTTCGAGGGCCGGATCATCATCACCCGCGTGATGGCCGACATCTCGCTGGCCAAGCGCTCCATCATGAACAACCCCTCGAAGCGGGCCATCATGGAGCGGTCGTCCAGCCGGAGCGACTGCCTCGGCAAGGTCCAGGAGGAGATCGAGCGCATCTTCGAGCTGGCCCGCTCCCTCCAGCTGGTCGTGCTCGATTGTGATACAATCAATCATCCGTCACAACTAGCGAAAACTTCATTAGCGCCAACAATAGTGTACTTAAAGATTAGTAGTAGTAAGGTAAGGTCTTTGATAATTACTTATTCTAATTGCATATCACTAATCACTTATATTAACAGGTTTTACAGCGTTTGATCAAATCACGTGGCAAGTCGCAGGCGAAAAACCTCTCCGTTCAAATGGTCGCCGCCGAGAAACTAGCCCAATGTCCACCGGATATGTTCGATGTAATCCTAGACGAGAATCAGCTGGAAGACGCCTGCGATCACATTGCCGAGTACTTGGAGGTAAGATTAATTATTGGTGTACGTGTACTTAGGTTGGAATTGAGATTTTTGCAAGGGAAATATTCAATTTCCAAAATATAACGTATACGCACTGGAGGTTTTAAGTGGGCATTGCCGTTTAGATAATAATATGCAAATTTAAAAAACAAAATAAATGAATAGTTTATTATTCAATTTTAGTTTATATGTAAAAAATGAATGAGTGTCGTTTTTAAATAATTACAATTTTTATAAATATTACGTATACGCATATTTCGTTATTTAATTAGTTTTTATACTTTAATGAAAAAATATGGCTACACCTCCCTCTAAAAATATTTGTAATTTATGTTTTTTATTTTGAGTAGGAGTTTTTAAGCCTGTAAAAATGTTGTAATACAATTAATTATGAATTAGTGTGTCACATTTCGTAAGACAAGATAAAATAACATGATTTATACCAACTAGTGACTTACTAAACCAATCTGTACTCCCTTGCAGACCTACTGGAAGGCCACCCACCCGGACATACGAGCAGTACCGCCCATCGCCCGCCCCCTGCCGCAGGAGGCCTCGCCCTCCGCGGATCCTGCGCGTCTGGGTCCAACGCCACCAGGTAAATGAAACCCTGCCCGTTTAGTAGGGCTCATTTACGGTCGCATTGCCATTTTCATTCGCGCGATTCCACCAAGTCCCAGTCCATGCCCAACAAGCTGCGAAATTTCAATCAAATATCAGTACCAATATCAATTCCGGTATCGAAATCAGAGTCACCCATTGTCTCACCCCCAACTATTCAAGCGAATACGATCCGACCCATTAATCACATATCAGTATATGTAAACATAGCGACAATACTCGCATGTATGCATATGCCATAAAATCAGAAATCAGCAGTAAACTATTTTCATTTGCTTCTCAACATACTCAACACAATTATACAAAATACAATTCTAAAATTTGTCTTTTTCAAATTCAAATTCCCATGACTGTACCGATAAACCAATCGAATCTCCTTCTGGCTCTCTCTCTCCCTCCGATAAACCGCCGATAAAATGTGTGTGTGCGAGCAGTAGATGGCGAGGAGTTTATCGATGAGCAGGATCCCAGGATGGGCATTTCCGGCGGAGAGCGCGAGGGCAGTCGGGAGAGAGATCGCGATAGCAGGGAGAGGGAGCGGGAGCGCGAAAGGGAACGGGATTACTGGGATCGGGAGTTCAACCGCGATCGCAGCTCCAAGGATCGAGAGAGGGACCTCGAGTGGGAGAGGGAGAGGGCTCGCGAGTGGGAGAGAGAGCGGGAACGAGATTGGGATAGGGAGTTCGATTGGGACCAAGGTAAATTTCGTTTTATACTGTTCCTTTTCCGTTTCGTTTCCTTTATACCGATAATATATATTCCAACCATAAACAAAAACGATAAACTTGGGTCTTTTAGGACCCGTAACTGTACTTTGAAGTTAGCTAGATTTTGTCCCGAAATATAAACCAGTTGAACCAGTCGTTTATCAAAAGTAGTTTCGGTTTCCCAGAGGAAAAATAGAACAAATCGACCCTCATCTCCACCCATCGATTGTATGTAGCTACAGCTCATGGCATTTATTTACGACTCCCGCTTTCTAGACACCTCTTGTACATATCAATACTGATAACTCCGGTATCCTCAACTTTTCGTTTATTTCTTTTGTTCTTTTGTGACCACACTTTACAGCATTCACAGCACGCGACATACCCGGTCCCTTTACAACAATGCTATAGATCAAAACCGAGTTCAAATCCAACAAATCCAACCAGACCAACACAACTGCGACATCAACAGTACAAAAAATGCCAAAGACAATTGAAACCGAATTGAAATCAAAACCAAATCAAATGGAAAATGCTAAAGCACCCCACCGACCGACATCTCCGACGATCTCCACAAGTACAACTCTTTGCCATGTCAAAACGTTCAAGAACTCCAGATGAGATGATGAAACCATGCTTAGAACCCATAGATTGCCCACTAATTTTAGCCAACTGAGATTAACTCTCTGCCGTTTGAGTTCTACTAACCGACTAACTCCGATTAGCACGCAATCGTAGAAGTCCCGATCGCTTTATCAGGCATCCGACATCAATCGATCCAATCCGATCACCCATGAACCACCCACGAACTGACAATCGTTCGTTGTATCGACTGACCTCTGTACTTGTTTTTAGTTACACCTGGCGTTGTGCGACTTTAAACTGCCGCGATCTTCGCCCAGCTCTTCTACTCGATTTTCACATTCTTCCGGGTGTTTTCCCAACTCAACTCAGTTATAATACGTATATGTACTTGTATTCCGTTGTTGTCGATCCTTATGTTTCCACCATTTCAAGTTGCCAAAACCAAATCATGCAATCGTTTAGCTCTGGTTTAGTGAGTACCGAACCCCCGAGATGTGTTTTGCGTTACATTATTTGTGCAATTTGACCCACTCCATTTTGGTTACCTTTGTTACCGCCCCCTGAAATCATCCTTGTTTGCCCAAGAACTTAAACCATGCATAATTGAAGCTAGGATTTGTTACTTTGTTTATTTTTTATATTTTTTTTTTTCAGTTAAGATGTTACTTTTTAAATAAAATGTTGAAAACCTAACCAAACGTTAAATTTGCCACTAACACTTTAGACTTAAGAGTTGTTAAAATTTTCATTAAGGTGTAGTTCACTAAACTCATAAAATTTTTTTTTATCACAGTAGTAGAAGGTAGTAGCTAATCAGGTCCCATCACGTATTAAAGTATCCACCTAAAGTCTTATAATCACCTGCATAAATGAAAACTTTATTGAAAGAACAAATGAAAATATCACAATGTTATTAAACTTAAAAAATGTTGAATATATTAAACATAATTCTTGAAAACATGCAAATACCCTTAAGACAGTTAATGTTATTTAACTGTTCACCAAGTCAACCAATTAAATATGTTAAATAGATTAAAGAATCGTTATTGAGTTATTACTTATTCCCCACCAGTTTTAATGTAACTGAATTAGCTGAGGTCAATTATAAAAAGATTTGCTTTAGAAATAAGTAGGGTATTACCCCTTTAGCTTGAGATGTCTCAGCACACAAAACCCTAACTGACCCAACTCCTAACTTGGAGACCTTTGGCCTGTTGCCTCCGCCCAACTATCGCCTATTGACCCCTTTTTTGAATGCTTTAGTTCTGGTTCTGTTTTCCGTTCTTTGCGTTACCCCCAAAAGAAAGATAATAATTATATATTCACTAACAAGAGCCTGTGTTGACCGTTTTGCAGGAGGAACCTCTTACCAGCACAGCCGCCGACAACCGACCTCGGTGCGCCACCAGGAGCGCGGCGGCGGAGTGGGCGCCGGCGGAGGGGGCGGCGGCTACGAGCGGGAACGGGAGCGGGAGCGGTACGAGCGGCGCGAGCGGGACCTCATGCACTACGATCTGAACAGCGACGAGCTGCTGGACGAGCGCAACTTTGAGTATCCGGCGATGCGGAGCGGTCCCAGCGGTGCTTCCCATCACGGCCATCTGTCCAGAGGTGGCCGCCTACTAGACGATCAGGACTTCGAGAGGGAGGAGGCCCAGATGAGGATGAGCAGCTCCCGCTACGGACCCTCCACGCGGATCGATGACCCCAGGGACTTGCCACGGGGAGCCACCGTTGTCGATCGCGATGAATACAGTCCGCACAGAGGTGGTGGGAGTAGTAGGAGAATGCTTAATGCCATGTAGGAATCGTGGATATAGGGGTGGGATCAGATCGATGCGAGAGTGCCAGGTTTGATGGAAGCACGCGACAATAGTTTTGATCTTGACATGACTCACCACCAGCCTCCGTCTCTCAATCAATCTCAGCCTCAATCTCAAACTCTAAATCTAACTCAATCACAATCCAGGCAGAGGTCTAGACCCTTGGGCCTGCCCCGCCAATCATCACTGCCCACTAATAGAGCACCCGTGTCCTACCTGCCACGTCAGTCCTCTCTGGGGACCCACTGGCTGTCCTCCACCTCGCAGGGTTCCCTCGACCCGGTGCCCCAATCTCGCCGAGAGCTTTATCCACTGCTGCACCAGCCGCAGTCGTATCAACAGCCCCGAACCCATTACACCACCACCTCCACCCACTCGTACCCCAATCCTCCACAGCACCAGGTTGCGAGTCATTCGCGTTCCCAATCCCAGTCGCAATCCCAATCTCAATCGCAATCGCAGTATCGATACTCCGTGCAGGACACGTCCTTTAACCACCCACCAAGATCCCTGCGCGATGAGTTCCTCAGTCCCACCATGAGCAAGGTCGAGGCCGTCACCCATGCCATTCGCAACAAGATCATCGTGGAGGAGGACGAGGAGGATATCCTGAGCACGGATCGGTTCTATTGAAGAGATTTCAGTCGCCACCCCGCGTCGATTAGGTTTTTTGGGAGCAGTACGAGTACAGTGCAGCAAATGCAGCAGTGCCAAAAGCAAGAATACACTACACATTTGTAAATGTTCCATTCGATGATCAGATCAGTTCAGTAGCCACACACACACACAAACAGAAACACACAGATACACACACACACACAAAGTAGCCGGTTAAAGTTGAAGGGAGCGTTTAAAGTGGCGGTTAGAGCAAACGTTAAAGCAAACCAAAAACCAAAAACCAAAAAGGAGAGCAGCCCAATGCCAAGTGGGGCCTTATGTGTCTTAAATGCTATAGCTAAGTGTAATCAGATTTTATTTGGGTAATGTGAATTTAAATTAAATGGTCTAAGCCTAAGAGTTAAGCTAGTCGTCAGTTGGGAAAATTAAAGGTTAATGCGAGTCCGCAGCCACCCAACAGAGTTTGTTGGTCCCGTATTTGTTATGCAATCGATTGACTAAGTACATAAATAAGTGTCAGCTTTAATAATTTAGTGAACGTGTCTTAATCTAAGTCGAGCCATACCAACACACACACAAAAACACTTAAACACACCCACACCAACACACAATCAGTTGACTGTGAACCGATTGAAATCTCTTTAATCTCAAATCGATACCCTTTTCTCGCATCCATCCTGTTTCTTCCTCTACGCAGAACCGAAATCTTCACACTCTCTTCAGCATATCTACTAGGAATTCTTCTAGTTGAAAATATAAGTGAGATAGGACTGCGTTTCAAATTCAAATAACAAGTAATTTACGAGATGAATTTCATACTTTTTAAACTTTTAAAAAGTTTAATTATTCTACAAACATTTTCGAAGGACTTAACTTAGTATCTATATTTGGTGACTGATAACAAATTGTATCTTCCAGATTTAGTTGTCTACTTAGGAACTTTAGTTCGACACGTAAAGTATATCTAATAATACCGAATAGTTCCTTGTAAACACATCCAATAACCTGACTTACCTTTTCGAGTCCTTTGAGAACTTTCATCAACTTCCTTTTAAGCTTGTATGAAACGCACTGTCTTGCCACCAAATGCATGAGTAGATCTTCCTCTTCCAACAGCAATACTTTCGACCTAGATACCTTGTCACACCATATCATGCCACACACCTGCCAAAGCGCACAGTTCGCGATTGCATCTCGAAATCGAAGTTGGATTTGGACTTGCAAGTCGCGAACAGGCCTCCAATCTGGATGGGGATCACCATAAAGATCTCTTCGATGATCCAGATTTAGGTATAGCGATTTAAATTACCAGTGCCTTATGAACCATCAAATCGAATTACACAACAGCACTCCACACCGAAAATTCTCCATTTCCCCGCCCAAAACCAAAAAAAGAAAAGAGAACCATCATTACCCGCTAAAGTCGAATGCGTCAAAATTATTGTTCAAGTATTGTAAGTACCTTACACGTAATGTCGAGATGAGAAACGTTGATCTGGCCCATTCCGAACGAGCACTCCTTTTACAATTCCAACCACCATGCTAACATGCTAAATTTGTCGATCATTAGTTGTCGAACTGAGCTAGCGCCCAACAATGATGAACCGCACTGCATTCAAATCGATCGCCACCTCGAAGTAAGCGTTGAGATGTATAGTTAGTTGATCTGTAAGCACACCCACAGAACCCACATCCTGCTGTCCCAGGACGAAGGATAATAAAAACCTCACGGGGAGTGTTTTACTTCCAGACGACGGACAGAGTTGATAGAACGATGCAGAGTAAATGCAAAAATCTAGTACTTTTTTATATAAGAAATACAAGGTGATATAACTAAATTTTGGAAAGCAAATTTGAACAGCGCACGACAAATACAGATACCTAAAAGAAATTGTTAGCAAAATTCAGGAGGGGAAATAGCGAGAGTCCTTTAAAGAAAGGTTTTGTTCCAAATTACTCGGGAGATAGAATGTCTTCTCATCAGAGGAAATGGATGGGGTGTTTGGCCAAGGCACTGGAGGCGCTTAAATATGAGGAACAACAATTTATAAATAAACCAAAAGCAGCATACGATACGCAAGCACTTCTTGTAAAAAGTGGCAAACAAACAAAAATGATCTACGTATTAGCTAAACCTAAATGAAATATTACTTTTTAATACTAGCATAAAGTTTAAAAAAAACTAGATACGATCCTTCGCAGCTGAGGAGGCGACAAACGGAATACTTAAGTTTAAATGGTCAGTTGATGAGAATGTGTATGTTAGAATATTGCACATAATTCACAGAACTGGTAATTCAATATATGATAATGGTATATATTAATAAAAAAAAGATACACACATTTATAAAGGTGCATATACATTTATACATGAATATGTATGTTCTTACTATAATTAACAAAATTTAAACCGATACAAATACATCAGCCGGCATTTTGTAAGCGTGGAAACCAAAATATGAACAAAATAATATTGAGTAAATATAATAGATTATCCCAGATATTGTTAGACACTTTCTGGCAACGGAAAGGCGAACTTTGCCATGAAAATTTCATCAGATCTGATAGGAATATGTTGGAGATATTTTGTAAGATGCCTTAAACTTCTCAACTCGAATTCTTTGAAAGTTTCGGAAAATTAAACTTGATAAATTCATATATTCCATTACATAACCTTCTAGCAGATGGACAAAAAGAAGTCCCAAAACATTTTTGCAAAAAAAAGAACAGGTTTGCTTCTAATATATAGGAATTTTTTTGTAATAATCAAAACTTATTTCCGATTAAAAACCAAATGAAAACAAAAAGAAAGCAATTTAAATTTGTTGACACTCTTAAAAACCAAAGAAAACACACACATGCAAACAAATTTTATAGCGAGAATACCGAAACTTTAAAAAAGAATACGCCTATATATTATTAAATTTAGCGGTAATAACTTCTCTACTTTTCAAGCCACTTTGATAAAAACAAACGGCAAACCTTATTTTTTTAGCCTAAATCCCTTATTAAACTGGAAGAGAAAGTGGAAATATTGACGCACGCCTGAGAATTTCCCATTGAATATATTATGATTAACCAAACACCGTTTACCCCAGAGAAATAAACACGAACTAATTGTGGAAATATCAACCCAGAATCCAAATTTATATAGATATTTTATACATGCAAAACATATACATATTGTAAAAAAAATGAGAAAACAGTAACTAAAATCCAATCAGCAATTTTTAAGAATTGTGTGTAAATAGTTTATGATATTTCAATTTGTTATCAAAACATTTTGTTACGAACTTTGTAATATTCCTCTTGTTTAACGATATGGACGATCTTCTGCAATCTCCTAGGCCATGTTTAGTTGATTTTGTTTTCATTTTCCGCATTCAAATGTTGTTCACAATATGTTTTTGGAAAATACGTAGTTAAATGAAAGCTAAATTGCAAATAAAAGCAAATACAATAAAAATATTGAAAATAATATGGTTGTTGTCTTATTTATGGGATGGTCTTGGAAAACTCAATGGATTGGGTATGAAAATGTAAAGTGGGTGCATTTCGCTGCGTATTCAAATTTGGAACCCAGATTTTTGTAATACAAAAACTGTGCGCACCACAAATTTTTGGGCTAGTCAGCTTCAGAGTGGGCGTGGCAAACATAAAAAACCTGCGCTGCGTAAAATAAATAACAAGAACCTTCATTTTAATCCTAACAAACTAGCTCTTTTAGTTCTTGTTTATATGGACGGACAGGCGGATAGACAGAAACACATACATAGATACACTCGTCTGATGATCCTGATCAAGAATATACAATTTGTCACAAAAGTGTTTTCGCGTGAAGATTTTTTTTCAAATTTCCCATTCTTATTAAAAAAAAACCACTTTGCAATAAGTTTTGAGAAAGATTTTTTTTATTTTATATTATTTATGTATTTCTTAAGAATACACAAAAAACAAAACATAAATTTTCCAATTATAAAAAAAGATATAACAAAAACAAAAAAAGTCTACTTATTCTCCACTGTCAAATAAGTGTTTTCGTTTTAAGGAACTGGGTGATAATAATAATTATTATTGATGTAATTAAATTAATCAATATTTGGTATGATGTCCTTTGGCCTTAACAACAGCTTGGAGTCGAGATTTCATTGAATTTATTAATTTTTCTATATAATCTATTGGGATCTGATTCCATTCTTCCAAAAAAATTTTCCTTTAGCATTGGTCGCGATGTGGGATGCCTTTTTCCGACCTTCTTTTTCAAATACGCCCACACATTCTCTATAGGGTTGATATCCGGGCTCTGGGCTGGAGTCTCAATCACCTTACCGCAATTATAGAGCGTCCACATTCGTACACTGTCAGCCTTATGTTTTGGGTCGTTGTCTTGGTAAAACTTAAAGCTGCGCCCAAAACGAAATGTGTTCGCGCTGTTTACCAAATTTGTTTTTAAAATGTCAAGATATTGTTTAGCATCCATCGTATTTTCGATAAATACTATATCACCCACTCCTTTGCTTGAGATGCACCCCCACACCATGACGGACAGCTTGCCGAATCTTACAATCGGTATTATGTTTTTATTTTGTAGGGCACACAACGGTTTTCGCCACACTCGGTTGGGTCCTTCGTTATAATGTAACATTATTTTCGACTCGTCACAAAAAATCACGTCGTTCCAATAGCTTGGGGGCTCATCCAAAAGAGTTTGAGCGAATGAAAGACGCTTTTCAACATTTTGTTTTGATAACAGGGGTTTCTTTCTAGCTACTCGGGATGTGAAATTATGGCTCCTAATAGTTCTGCGAATAGTTTCATGAGAAACATCCACTCCACATTCTTCCCTTACCTCCTCAGCCAGTTTTCTTGTTGAGATCATGGGGTTCTGGTATACTTTTTTCTTTATAATCCGAATAGCTCTGTTTCAGAGCTTACCCGGCCGACCATTTACTGGCTTATTTTCGAGCCTATTCTCTTTTTTTGTCCGACTTATTATATTTTGGACACTTCTTATATTTAATTTAAACATATTTGCAATGTCCGAAGTCCTTTTCCCAATGGTATGGCTGTAATATACCAATTGGGGTCACATCAAAAGAAACTCTTTTGCCCGGCATTGTAAAACACTTATTTATACGACTATTATCGTCTGTAAGTACGGAGAGCTGACATTGAAATGCTCAAAATGCATATTAATATCATCTAGTCGATCCTAAAAGTCAACTTGTCCGTACAAGCATATGCAAAATTCGAGAAAACTCCAGAAATGTAAAAACGAAAACACTTATTTGACAGTGGAGAATAAGTAGACTTTTTTGTTTTTGTTATAACTTTTTTTATAGTTGGAAAATTTATGTTTTGTTTTTTGTGTATTCTTAAGAAAAACATGAATAATATAAAATTAAAAAAATCTTTCTCAAAACTTATGGCAAAGTGGTTTTTTTTAATAAGAATGGGAAATTTATAAAAAAATCTTCACGCGAAAACACTTTTGTGACAAATTGTATATACTAAATGGGGTTTGCAAGTGCTTTCTTCGACTTCTTGCCCTTTTATTAAATGAAAATCAGGTATGTATATTTATTTTTTTCCAACAGTGATGTTTTTAAACTTTTTTAATCAGAGGGTCGGTGATGGGTTAAAATTGTTGTTTTGCAGCCAACATCAATTTTGCGATTCGAAAACAACTCGCACGCACACTCCAAAGAACAAAGACAGAGAGAGAGAGAGAGAGAGAGAGGGAGAGAGCTTGGGTCCCAAGTGGCTCTCCCCGATCTTTCCAGTTGGTTATCACGAAAAACAACATTCGCACTGCAGTGGAGAGCAAACGTATTCAAAGTCAGGTTCGATGGCCCGTTTTTTCGCTCTCAAAGTCAGTTCAATTTGTTTGCTCAGCGGCGAAGATCGCGAGTTGCGGAAAGTAATTGGCGAAAATTAACACAATCAACCGGTTGTCCAGATTGTTGTTTAGTACATTATCTACAAAATCGAATATGCCGCTGAACATAAAGAAAGTTCTGGTCTGCGATGCAGTGGACAAATCCTGCGTGGAGCTGCTGGTACAGCACGGAATTAATGTAAGTTTTCTAAATCCCCTGACGTGACAAGCGATTATGTGCAAAAGCTTACACCCATACAAGTGCTCAGCAGTACAGTACTCTCTCCGATTAACAAACTGTCAATATATTTACATACCTCAGTTAAGTTAAACATAAATTTAAAGTCAGTAATAAAGTATTATTAAACTTAAATGGTCTGAATATTTTTCTACTTCACCTCACTTTTAGATTGTTTAAAATATTTTTTTTACAATAAATAACCCTACATTAATTTGTACAAATTATTTTTGTTTTTATTCAATAAAACGCCAACCAAATCAACATAAAAATAACAATATGATATTACAAATATTTATAATAAAAAAAAAACAGTTCAAAGAATTTAAATAATTAAAAATGGCATTACATGTAGTTCTACATTCCTAGTCCTCACTGTAAAGATGTAAGCATGTTAAAGTGTTTACAAGTCGGCAAGCAGAAAATACTTGCATTTAATTGATTACACAATTTAATCAACGTTGTTGACCATTTCTTTTTTTGTTTCTGACAAGGTTACCTACAAGCTAAAACTCCCCGTGGAGGAATTGTGTCAGGAAGTTAAGGTAAGTGGCTTTGGGATTGCAGCAGTGGTTAATTTACAAATGAAAAAGATAACCCAAAGTAAACAAAAGCTCTCCTAACGATTCAAGTGCGGTTTTAAAACACGTGCGCTGAATTAGAGGTGATAAGTGCATTTTACATTTACACACTTGTGTGCGAGTATAGGTAACATGTAATATTTCAATCAGTCTGTTGCTAAGCCATTAATAACTTAATATAAAGATAAGCGCCACTAGTTGTTATTGGCAGTCTGTTATTATTTCACTCAATTTGAAATTAATTAAAAATGTATTACTACACTTGAGGTCATTTGCAACATAGGCAATAAATATTACAATCTCTAAGTAAACGGATTATTGAATAAACAATTTTTAAATACTGTTTTTCAATAACAATTGTCAATTAAATCATATTGGATATTGCTTTAAGTCAAGCTGACTAACAGAGTTTTTGTTTAATTTCCTCTGAAGCAATTTAACGCGTTATTGTTTTGATTTTGTTTTTATATGCAAAATGTTGTTTTCATTTTAAGCAATAATGTTTTTTCTACTATTTCTAACTATTCATATCAGTTTAAGCACGTAGCAAAACTGCACAATTTTATTTGATTTTGAGGGAGATGGTTTTAGTTGTTGATTTTACAATTGCGCAAAAAACTCAAAGGGTCGAAAAAACACTTGAAAAGTGTTGTTGGCTTTATGTGAAGAGCAAAACAATTTAGGATTTGCATGTTTTTCATTTGCAAACCAGTAATTGGTAAACAATTTAAACAATGTAAACGTCTGTGACCCTATTTTTCAAAAGAGCAAATTGTAAACAAATTTAATGCGATTAAATGCATATTCGTTTTACAAAAAAATATGCTCATTTGTTTTCCACGAGACCCACTCTAAAGTTTGCCGCGCTAGACACTGTTATCACCACTTAATCGAGTAATTCTTATCAAATCAACTGCCGATCAGACGATGGTGCCCCAACATTAAAAATATTGTTGACAGCGAAACCGAAAATGACTGGAAATGGTCAATAAATGGAACCAGAAACTTTTACGGCAGGCCAATACAAGATACAACGGTTTTACTTCAGCAGGTGTTAAGGGGTATCAATTCCACATTTTAAGAAAAACAGTAATGAGCCCAATCAATGGTTTGGTGAATTAAAGGCCAATATTTATACTTACTCAGTTGCTAATTATCATTTTATGCCGCTTTCAGAAATACGATGCTGCCATCGTTCGCTCGGATACAAAAATAACCGCGGAAGTTCTGGCCGCCGGATCCGGGAGTCTGAAGGTTGTTGGCCGCGCGGGAGCCGGAGTAGACAACATCGATGTCCCTGCAGCCACGGCGCATAATGTCGTTGTCCTGAAGTAAGTGCTCCCTAATCCCCAAGTGCATTGCTCGGCGGGAAAAAGGATTGTTTGAAACACTGTGAAGAGTTATTATTTATTATTGGTTCAAGTTAAAAGGCTGTTGTTGATAATTACACAAGTTGTTCGGATTTTAGAATAGAATAGAAAAAAGAAAAAGCATAACAATCATGGATGATAAACTAAAATAGGGTAATTATGTACATATAAATTTTTGGATATATGTATTATATATAAATTTTTTTTGAACCAAGATCAATCAATCAAGAAAAACACATTTTTAAAAATAAGACATTAAAAAACTCACTTATAAAACAAGCATATTTTGTAAACAAAATTTGCAACATATTGCTGTTAACACATTTTTTTTTTAAATATTTTTTTTACCTTAAATCTTGGTTAACTTTTAATAGGGTAATGAAACTCAGTGTCCCAACCTAAATACTAATT